GGGCTGGTCACTGGCAAAGGATTCCTTTTCCGTTTTCAGCGCACCTTGATATGGAACCCGGAGCCAGCAGAGCGACAAATAGGTGTGGGGCCTGCTTCTGGCACCATGTGCTGATTTCGTGTCCCCTCATTCACTGGGAACACTGAGTTGAGAGCCTGGAGATGCAAGTTCAAGTCCTAGTGACCCTGGGAAAGTTATTCCACCTCCCTAACTTCCTCATCCGGGGCTTCAGGGTCTTCAAGACCCCACCCAACCATGATGTCTGGTGGAAGAAGCTATTTTTGAATGCCAATGCATATAGGGTCCTGGGAGCTGGGGACAATTTGGTAACTTCTAATGACCCTCTGTGGCAAGGGGATGGAAAGGAAAGTTTGTCCTTTGGTTTCTTCCTTCCCTAAAGTAGGTCTGAGTCATTTTGGGGAAGAAAGGAGATAGCAAGGAAAGAATGTGCACGTGTGGGTATTATTGTGTGTCAGTGAGTGAGGAGCTGAAGCTAGGGGCTGGGGAAAATGCCTGGGGACTGAGGAGGACCCTGCTTGGTGTCTCAGGGCTCCTGGGGAAGCTCCTAGCCACACCTGTTCTGCTTCCATCCCCAGGCCCATGAGAGGCTGGAGGAGACGAAGCTGGAGGCGGTGAGAGACAACAACCTGGAGCTGGTGCAGGAGATCCTGCGGGACCTGGCACAGCTGGCTGAGCAGAGCAGCACTGCTGCCGAGCTGGCCCACATCCTCCAGGAGCCCCACTTCCAGGTTCCTGGCCGCTGGGGCTGGGGTGAGGGAGCAGGAGGCGGGTGGACTGGGGCATGCTGCTGTTGGAGGGGCCGGCAGGAAGTTGGAGCTGGGATGGGAAGAAACCTGGGGCACTACCCCCATTGTCCCTCCTTTTCCTACCACCCCCTAGTCCCTCCTGGAGACGCATGACTCTGTGGCCTCAAAGACCTATGAGACACCGCCCCCCAGCCCTGGCCTGGACCCTACATTCAGCAACCAGCCCGTACCTCCCGACGCCGTGCGCATGGTGGGCATCCGAAAGACAGCCGGAGAACATCTGGTGAGGACTGGGCAGGGCCAGAGGCGGGGCTGGTGAGGGTAGGGAATTGAGAATAACCAATGAGGGGACAAAAAAAGGCCAAGCGTGGTCTGAAGATGAAGATGGGGCCAGCTTTGTGCAGGGAAGGGCCCATGCAGACCCAGGAGACCATAGACACTGCACACTCACCTGTGTCCGCATCTCTCCAGTCTGCCCGCTTCCGCCCGCCATTAGTACCTGCTCTAAGTGAAGAATTTAGGCAGAAGGATGGAGGACGACTTTGTGAGTGCGGGGGTGGGTGGGTGAGGACAGGAATGGAGGTGCTATTAGAAGAGTATTTGAAGATTCTGACTTGGAGCATTCGGGTCCTCATCTTACACTCTCCCTCTGACCTCCAGGGTGTAACGTTCCGCGTGGAGGGCGGCGAGCTGGTGATCGCACGCATCCTGCATGGGGGCATGGTGGCTCAGCAAGGCCTGCTGCATGTGGGTGACATCATCAAGGAGGTGAACGGGCAGCCAGTGGGCAGTGACCCCCGTGCACTGCAGGAGCTCCTGCGCAATGCCAGTGGCAGTGTCATCCTCAAGATCCTGCCCAGCTACCAGGAGCCCCATCTGCCCCGCCAGGTGAGCCCCTCCACCAGCCCCTCTCTCAGCAGAAGGCCCAAGGGATGGCCGAGCCTCCTGGGTGTCAGGGTTGCAAGTCTCACTGAGGCCCTCCTCTCCTGCTGGTTTCCTCCAGGGGAGATGAGGGTGGGACCTGCAGCCCAGGGGCAGCTGACTGCAGCCGCTGACAGGCCTCTGCCTCTGCTGCACCTGCACGTGCTCCCGCATTGGCCGGCATTATGCATGCAGCCACAGCCTGGGGTACCAGAGTGTATGAGAGAGCGCCTGCATCGTGGTCTGCGTTCTTCACATGTTTGTGCGCATGCGCACGGTGGGTGGCGTTGTCGTATGTCCTGGACAACTGTCTCCTAGTTGGTGGATTCTGGGGGTCTGGCTGCTCTATCTACCTCTCCTATTGGCTCTCTCGCCCTCTGCCAGAGCCCTTCTCCAAGGGTAGAGGGTGAGTGGAGGGAGGGATCCAGGATTAGATGCCAGGGTCCTGTCCCCTACTTGGTGGTCCCACATCCTTGGTCCTAAGATCTGAATCCTGTAGTACTAGATGTGAAGGGAGGTTGGCACCAGGGAGGCACATGGGCAGGCCTGGAGGCATCACTCCTGCAGGGGGACAGTTCCATTTCCCCTTGTGTCTTTGTGAAAAGAGGGGGCACGGGGTAGACCTCCACCTGCAGCCTTCTACTGCCCCTTCCCCCGACCCTTTGCTGATTCCTGGGCCCAGGTATTTGTGAAATGTCACTTTGACTATGACCCGGCCCGAGACAGCCTCATCCCCTGCAAGGAAGCAGGCCTGCGCTTCAACGCTGGGGACTTGCTCCAGATCGTAAACCAGGATGATGCCAACTGGTGGCAGGTGAGCCCCGGGCACCCCTGCATCTCTCCAGGTGTGGTACATGGGAGGGCAAGGGCACAGGGAGGGGTCCTCTTGCTCAGGCAGATCTTGGTCTCATGTCCGTTTCAGGCATGCCATGTTGAAGGGGGCAGTGCTGGGCTCATCCCCAGCCAGCTGCTGGAGGAGAAGCGGAAAGCGTTTGTCAAGAGGGACCTGGAGTTGACACCAAACTCAGGTAGGAGGTTCCCCCCTACCCCACATCTCCAATCTGGGATCCGACAGGGCCCTGTCTGCCTCACTCACCCATCTCCCTATGGCCAGGGACCCTATGCGGCAGCCTTTCAGGAAAGAAAAAGAAGCGAATGATGTATTTGACCACCAAGAATGCAGGTGGGTATCAGAGTGTCCCCCCCTTTGTCCTCCTCTAACATGGCTTGCCTTTCCCTGTCCCCACGCATCACCCGTGAAGATGTGTGCCTGGCTCAGATGCTGCCAGCCATGTCCCTAGGCCCTGCTCGACTCCCCCTTGCTCCCCTGTTCTAAGCCCTCTTGCCCTCAGCCTCCCTGAGAGCTCCGCCCCTCCCTCACCGTGCAGCCTGGTGAGCAGCGCCATCTCCCTGTGTCCAGAGTTTGACCGTCATGAGCTGCTCATTTATGAGGAGGTGGCCCGCATGCCCCCGTTCCGCCGGAAAACCCTGGTGCTGATTGGGGCTCAGGGCGTGGGACGGCGCAGCCTGAAGAACAAGCTCATCATGTGGGATCCAGATCGCTATGGCACCACGGTGCCCTGTGAGTGGGAGCTGGGCCCTGCTGAGTCGGGGACAGGGAGCAGGGGCTCCCCTGGGGGCCAGGGCTGAGCCTACCGAATGGGCATCTTCATGGGCGCCAGGCCAGGTGGTACCTTTGGGTGTACGGGTTGGGGTGCACGCCCTCTGTGGGTAGGTAGGGGAACTTCAGGCTCAGGAAGGATGAGGGAGGTGTCCTGCCATCAGGTGGCCTAGTGGGCTGGGCTGGCGTCCCCTTTCCTTCTCTTGTTTCACTTGCTAAAAGCCGTGAAGAAAGTGAGTGCCCAGCTGTGCACCCGGGTGAAACCGGCTATGAGCTGTGTATGTGTAGCCTTGTGGAAGACAGGGCTTCTTAGTGGCAGAACCAGCGGGGGTGGGGGAAGCTCCTGGCTGCCAGAGGCAGGACTAAGAGCGCTGCCCTGGTCTGCTTGGCTCTTGCTGTGTGGCTTTGGGCTGTACATTGCCCTTTCTGTACCTCAGCCTCTCATCTGTGGGCTCTGGGTTAGACCAAGGTTACCACCTCATGTCTCTGTGTGTGCAAAGGCAGCAGTGCTGGCAAGATGAGGGGCAGACTGCACCCCCAAGACTGGGAAACGGGGGCTTGGGTAAGTGTGCGTATATGTGTCTGAGGCACTGTGACCTGCCCGTGCCCATTCGGCCCAACCTACCCCCATCCCCCTAGACACCTCCCGGCGGCCCAAAGACTCAGAGAGGGAAGGTCAGGGTTACAGCTTTGTGTCCCGTGGGGAGATGGAGGCTGACATCCGTGCTGGGCGCTACCTGGAACATGGCGAATACGAGGGCAACCTGTATGGCACACGTATTGACTCCATCCGGGGCGTGGTCGCTGCCGGGAAGGTGTGCGTGCTGGACGTCAACCCCCAGGTACTGCCACTCTGCTCCTTCCCAGCCTGCCCAATGTCCTCTCTGCTGCCTCAGTGCTCCCCCATAGTTCCAGGTACCTGTCACCTGAGCACACCCGTGTACCCCCTCTGCCCTCAACTACTGCTTGAAACCCAGCCTACCTGGAACCTTTCTCAGCCTTCCAGAGCCCCCACTCCTCCTCTAGTCTCCTCCAGTCACCCCAGCCACCTGCCAGCTATTTGTCGTTTGTCCCAGGACTCATGTCCCAGACCCCTAGGCACCCGTTTCCACCCACTCCCAAGTGCCCACCCCAACCCCAGTCACCCTCACAGCCTTTCTCTGGTTCCCAGGACAGACATGGGGATATGCTCCCTACCCTACCTTCTCCTTCTGCAGGCGGTGAAGGTGCTACGAACGGCCGAGTTTGTCCCTTACGTGGTGTTCATCGAGGCCCCAGACTTCGAGACCCTGCGGGCCATGAACAGGGCCGCGCTGGAGAGTGGAGTGTCCACCAAGCAGCTCACGGTGAGGGCTCTGAGGTGTGGAGGAGGCGTCCAATGGCTGCCTAGGGTGGTGGGGGACAGGCCTGAGCTGACACAGAGAGAGAAGGAGGTGGTGTTGGGGAGGGACAGGGGCCTGCTCCAGTTATCGGTGAGGCAGGACGTGGTCCCCCACTGCGTAGATGTGGAACGAGAGGTCTGAGAGAGGAAGTCCAAAGTCTCAGAATGAGCCAGGCACACAGCTAGCCTGGGACACATGTGCTTCTGACTCCAGGCCCCCAGCTCAGCCCACTCTGCAGGGGCAGAAAGCTGGCCAGAGAGAGTTCCAGAAGGCCAGTGGAAGAGGTGGGCAGGAGGTGGGCCAGGTGAGCTTGGGTTGCTTATAGCTGGGGGGAAGCTGAAAGGTAGGAGAAAGCCAGAGGCGGGAAGGCTGGCTGGAGGGGTGAGTCAGTATAAGAGAGCAGGCAGTGCCTGGAGGAGAGGCTTCAAGCCTGCATTGCAGGACTCCAGCCCCTTCTTCCTTCCTCCCTGTGTCTTGCTGCGCCTTCCCAGGAGGTGGAGGGTTTGCAGAGCTCTGAGCGCAGGGGTCCCTCTGCTGGCCATGCCTGGTGCTGCTGCACTCAGGCCCCGGGTACAAAAGGTACAAAAACGTCACACAGACAGTCAGTGGCTAAACAGGGTCTGCCTGACTCTCAAGTCAGTGCTCCCTCAAGTCTGACTAGGCTGTCTTACCTATGCAGCATGACAGGCTGGTACCAGGGCAATCCACAAGTACCCAGGACAACCCCACCCTCTAGCATGGCTGGGGCCCAGAAGAGGCTGTCTAGGCTGGCACCCTTCTGCCAGTGACCCCCTTAGGAGCTCTGGACCCTTGCCTGATTCCCATTCTGGGCACCTCCTCCTTGGCAAAAGGTGTGGCCAACTGGAGCTGCTGGGATATAGCTAGCTTCAACTTATTTAAGTCAGTTGTCAAACACCCTTCCCCACCCCTGCCCAGCCAGCTTCCACTGGGTCGAGGGTGGGGTTGTCCTGGGTACTTGTGCCCTGGTACCAGCCTGTCATGCTGCATAGGTAAGGCAGCCTAGTCAGACTTGAGGGAGCACTGGCTTGAGAGTCAGGCAGACCCTGTTTAGCCACTGTCTGTGTGACCTTTTTGTACCTTAATTTTCTGTTATAAATGGGGAAGAATTAATCCTACTTTGCAAAGCTGTAGTGAAGATTATGTGGCATGCAAAGCATTTAGGGGTGTGATTGGCAGTTACTAAAGCTTATTTCCTCCCTTTCACTCATCATCTGTTTGTGGTCGATGGTGAGCCACTTTGAGGCAAACAGAGAGGGGCCCCTCCCTCCCTAGCCAGGGAGTCCACACCAGGGTTGGGCTTTGGGGAGGGGGAGTGGGGGAGCTGTAGCTCCTTCTGACAGTGGGGGTGAGTTGTAGGAACTGACTGTAGGGAGGTCCCCTTGTGCCTGGGCAGGAGGCGGACCTGAGACGGACAGTGGAAGAGAGCAGCCGCATCCAGAGGGGCTACGGGCACTACTTTGACCTCTGCCTGGTCAATAGCAACCTGGAGAGGACCTTCCGCGAGCTCCAGGCGGCCATGGAGAAGCTACGGACAGAGCCCCAGTGGGTGCCTGTCAGCTGGGTGTACTGAGCCTGTTCACCTGGTCCTCAGCCCACTCTGTGTTGAAACCCAGAACCTGAATCCATCCCATTCCTGACCTGTGACCCCCTGCCACAATCCTTAGCCCCTATATCTGGCTCTCCTTGGGTAATAGCTCCCAGCAGGCCCTAAGTCTGGCTTCAGCACAGAGGTGTGCACTGCCAGGGAGGTGGGCATTCATGGGGTACCCTGTGCCCAGGTGCTGCCCACTCCCAATGCCCATTGGCCACCAGATATCTCTGAGGGCCAAGCCATGCCCAGGAATGTGTCAGAGTCACCTCCATAATGGTCAGTACAGAGAAGATAAAAGCTGCTTTGGGACCACATGGTCAGTAGGTACACTGCCCCTTGCCACCCCTCCCCAGTCACACTCCTCTGGACTGGCCACACCCACCCCATTCCTGGACTCCTTCCACCTCTCACCTCCGTGTCGCAGGAGCAGGCCTTGGGCTGTTTCCATGTGGCCAGGGGAATGCATGTCCCACTGGCAGCCAGACAGGCCTGGGTGGTGGTGCCAGCCTGGTGCCATCTTGAAGGCTGGAGGAGTCAGAGTGAGAGCCAGTGGCCACAGCTGCAGAGCACTGTAGCTCCCAGTTCCCTCAGAAAGGGGCAGGGCCACAGGGCAGATGCTGCTCGGTCCCTCCCTCATCCACAGCTTCTCACTGCCGAAGTTTTTCCAGATTTTTCCAATGTGTCCTGACACGTCAGCCCTGCTCCCCACAGGGCCAAGCTGGCAGGGGTCAGTGGGCTCAGCCCAGGTAGGCGCAGGATGGAGGGCTGAGCCCTGTGACAACCTGCTGCTACCAACTGAAGAGCCCCAAGCTCTCCATGGCCCACAGCAGGCACAGGTCCGGGTTCTGTGTCCTTGACCTTGGTCCATTTTGGTTTTTTCTCTAGCCAGGTCCAGGTAACCCACTTGCGTCAGGGTTGCCGGGTTGGAGGGGCTGAGGAGGAGTTCAGAGGGGACCTTGGGAGCCTGGGCTTGAAGGACAGTTGCCCACCAGGAGGTTCCTCACACACAACTCCAGGGGGCGCCATTTACACTGCACAGCCTGTGGTTCCATGTGCATGCTTGGCGCCTGTCTGTGCCTCTGGCACTGGGGTGTGTGTATATGTATGTGCGTGTGTGCGTGTGTGTGTGTGTCAGGTTTAGTTTGGCGAGGAAGCAAAGGATTGTTTTGTTTTGGAGGTCTCTCTTTGGGGCCCCTTTCTGGGGGTTCCCCATCAGCCCTCATTTCTTATAATACCCTGATCCCAGACTCCGAAGCCCTGGTCCTTTCCTGATGTTTTCTCCCTTGTCCTATTGTCCCTCTACCCTAAATGCCCCCCTGCCGTAACTTGGGGAGGGCAGTTTTGTAAAATAGGAGACTCCCTTTAAGAAAGAATGCTGTCCTAGATGTATTTGGGCATCTCATCCTTCATTGTTCTCTGCATTCCTTCCGGGGTGAGCCTGTCCTCAGAGGAGACAACCTGGGACACCCCAAGTCCAAACCCCTGTGCCTCCCAGTTCTTCCAAGTGTCTAACTAGTCTTCTCTGCAGCGTCAGCCAAAGCTGGCCCCTGAACCACTGTGTGCCCATTTCCTTGGGAAGGGGAAGGAGAATAAACAGAATATTTATTACAAATGTTAGAATATATTTCTTATACTAGGAATCTCATTTGCATTTGCATAGAGTATACACATGGGGTGGAAAGGCCAGGCCTGCCCCCATCTCGTTGGTGTGCCTCTGCATATACTACGCACTCATCTTCCTGCTCCTCTTTTCCCTTGATCAGTGTCCTTTCATCCTAGTTCAGCTGTCCCTTGCATCACCCTCGGCCTAAGGGAGTGGGAAGGAAATGGGGTGTTTTCCTGCTGACTTGAGGCTATGGGGTCACTTGCCACTTCCTACCTTCCCTGGGGGACTTGAGGGTAGAGGCGACTTGAGGGTAGAGGCAGGAGAAGATTTGTTGTTGCAGCTGCCTCTGCCGCCTTGGTCCAAATGACCATCATTTCTGATGGAGATGGGTTGGGTACGTGGCCCTCATGGCACCCTCACTGCTAGTGATGCCAAGGGGCAGGCCTGGAGCCCTTCCCTCCTGTCTCTTCTCAGTCCTTCCTCTCTGAACAGCCTCCTACCTCCCCTGCCTGAGCCCCACTCCACAGCCCTCCCAGGTACCTATCAAGTGGGAGCAGAGGCTGTCAGTCCTTGGTTCACCTGGGACAGGGCTGGGGCTGGGTTGGAACAGGTGTGTGTGCCCACCACATTAGCTCTGTGACTCTTCTCCCTCCCTGCCATTGTGGACTCTTGTATTTGAGGGACCTCAGGAGAGTGAGGACCCTACCATCCACTGTCCATGTTCAGTCCCAGCCCCAGTGCCCTTCCTCTGTCCCCTCCCTCAGCCATCCAATTCTTGAGTTTTCTCACTGACTGGTTTTTTATTTTCCTTGGATTAAATGTGAAAGCAAAGGCTTCTGGCTCTGCTTGTCTTTGGTTGGGGTTGGTGGATGGCTTTGGGAGAAAGTGAGAGCTGGGGAGCACAGCACAGATGACTCTAGAATGGAAGTCAGAGTGACATGTCTTGTTTTCTGCAATGTCTTCCTTTCCTGTCTTGCCCCTGCACACTCCCCTTCCCCAGAAGATGCTCCTTCTAAGTGCTCGTACCCAAGGACATGAACAGACATTTCTCAAAACAAGACATACAAGTGACAATGTATGAAAAAGTGCTTAATGTCACTAATCATCAGAGAAATTCAAACCAAAACCATGATGAGTTACCATCTCACACCAGTCAGAATGGCTATTATTAAAAGGTCAAAAAATAAGATGCTGGTGAAGTTGCAGACAAGAGGGAGTGCTTATACCCTATTGGTGAGAATGTAAATTAGTTCAGCCCCTGTGGAAAGCAGTTTGGAGATTTTTCATAGCACTACCATTCATTCCAGCAATCCCATCACTGGGCATCTACCCAAAGGAGAAGAAATCATTTCACCAAAAAGATACCTGCACTGGTGTGATTGTCACTACGGGACTGAACGTAGGACGAACGCCACTTGTGACAGTTACTATGGGACTGAACAAAAGAGGATGAACACAGAAATGAAAACTTAACACAAAAGAATCTGCTTTAAAGAAGGAGTCATTGCTTTTGCTTCTAGTGAGCAAGGGCCCTGAGCTTCCACAGCCCTCCATATTTATTGGGCAGAAAGAGCAGGGAGGAGCAGGTAACCATTGGTCAGCTGCTTGATTTATCACAGGTTCACATAATTGCTAACAGGCTTCAGGTATGCCTGTAGATAGTCACAAACACTGCACCTGGGGCGTGACTGCCCTCAGCATTCCTTCTGGACAGCAGACACAGTTTGCCACTATTCTGCATTTATGAGAACAGTTTGCTGTTTGCTCATATAGCCTTCAGTGGTATACTGAGTTGATCACGACCCTCCTTCTTTTGGCCTCCAACATCTCCCCCTTTTTGTTTTTACATTAATTGAACAAAATCTGTCCTCATGTTATGGGGGTTGATGTCAGTGTGACTCTGGTCAGTCCTCATTCCGTCTTCACATTCAGATTCAACTGACTCATGGCTCGTACCAGGGGAACCAGGCCCATGGTTGGGATCCATGGTTCCCTCCAGTGTCCTGTTCCATGGCTGCACACACCTTGAGGGCACCCACATGGTTTGTCCACCTCCTGTAAAAACACAAGCATACCCTTGTCCCCACGTTGATAAATCTATAGGCAGTGGGAAACATATTCTGAGGTTCCTTAATTCTTTTCCTACAAAATGCTGACATAACGTTAGGACTGCTGAGCACGCCTTGGGGTGAAACTTTCCATTGATAATGAAAAACAGGCTTTCTCCAACAGAAGGCACAGAAAACAACTTGAGGCTTATCCTTCTCATGTAAGGTATAGAAAAAAAAATCTCCAAGATCCATTACTGCAAGAGGCCAGTCTCTTGTTCCTGTATCCGTAAGCCCACACAACTTCTTTTCTTTAATTTGCACTGCACAAGTGGGTCTACTAGATGCTATAGGTTGTGATGAATAAATTTCCCTCCTAGTTGTACTTCCAAATCCTTGATTCCCTTGTTTCTTCTTTTGTCAAGAAGGGTGTAATTTGCAGGGGATAAGCAACAGATGAGCAATATGTTCTCCCAGTTCAAAAACCCAAAGATCTTGTAACATTACCACTACTTGAACTTCTTCTTCATAATCTGAATCAACAACTCCTGGGGACTACAGTAATGCCCTGTAAGTTAAGACAACTTTTGCCTAAAATTAATCCCATGTATTCTGTTGGCAAAGGTCCACAAATACCAGTGGGAATCTTGGTGGGTTTGTCTCCTCCAACTAACGTAACGCATTCTCTGACTGGGAGAGCCAATCCTGTGCTTCCAGGTGTTCCTGGGGAGGGGGAATCAATGTGCCTTCCGAAACCCACCCCTGAAACGGAGTTGTGTCCTGGACTGGGGATGCCCTCATGGTTTGAGGTGCCTGGGTTCAGGCCCCCTTGTCATTTCCCCACAGGGGGGTGCTGTTTTGATGAAAATTTGAATGGCATTGATTAGCCCAATGATTTCCTTTATTGCAACCAGGGCAAAGTCCTGGTGTTTTTGCTATTGCGGAGGAGGGAACTGTGTTATGAGATCCCTTCTTTCTGGAGATCTGACGGCATTCTTTTTTGAAATGTCCAATTTTTCCACAATTATAACATTTTTCCACTTTAGGGTTTGACCCTTGGCTCCTTTTAGGTTTACCAGCTACTAAATTAGCCACTGCTTGAGCCAACATTGTAGAGCGATGAAGCTCAATTTCCCACATCTTGACAAGCTCTGAGAAAATTTCCTAAGCTTCTTGTACATCTCACAGGTGCCAGTGCATGTTTACAATCCACGTTTGCCTTCTCAAAGCCAAAGTTAAAGTTAGTATTTCTGCAGCCACAAAAGAAGATGGTACAGGCCAATCTTCACCCTCCCTCTCCTGTTCACCACCCTCGATAGGTGCTGTGGGTGGGGCACAAAATTCTTTCAAATTTTGAAATAATGACAAAAGGACAGTACAGACCAAACTCCAAACAGAAAAAACAGAAATAATGAACAAATTCTGCCCATGTTACCCTGATTCAGAAACTTCCCACTCCCAGTACCTCTTTAGGTCACTGACCTTATATCCACTGCCGGCAGACTCATCCTGGGGTTTCTCGTTCATCTGGTCAGTTTCACTTTCTCTGCTCCAGCAGACGTTCCTCGTTCATGTCCCTGTCTGTCCCTGTCTGTCTCTGCTAATCTCTACTAGTCCCTGCAAGTCCCTGCTAGTCTCTATCTGTCCCTGTCGGTCCCTGTCCATCCCTGTTTGGGTGCCACTTGTGACAGTTACTACGGGACTGAACAAAAGAGGACGAACGCAGAAATTAAAACTTAAGACAAAAGAATCTGTTTTAAAGAAGGGGTCAGGGGGCTCCTTGCCTCTAGTGAGCAAGGGCCCTGAGCTTCCACAGCCCTCCATATTTATTGGGCAGAAAGAGCAGGGAGGAGCAGGTAACCATTGGTCAGCTGCTTGATTTATCACAGGTTCACATGATTGCTAACAGGCTTCAGGTATGCCTGTAGATAATCACAAACACTGTGCCTGGGGCGTGACTGCCCTCAGCATTCCTCCTGGGCGGCAGACGCAGTTTGTCAGTTTTTTGCCAACATTCTGCATTTATGAGAACAGTTTGCTGTTTGCTCCTATAGCCTTCAGTGGTATACTGAGTTGATCATGACCCTCATTCTTTTGGCCTCCAACACACTTGTATGCTTATCGTAGCACTATTCACCATAGCAAAGACAATGAATCAATTTAGGTGCCCATCAGTGGTGGATTGGATAAAGAAAATGTGGTACATATACACCATGGGATACAGTGTAGCCATAAAAATAATGAAATTGGCTGGGCGTGGTGGCTCACTCCTGTACTCCCAGCACTTTGGGAGGCAAAGGCAGGTGAATCACCTGAGGTCAGGAGTTCAAGACCAGGCTGGCCAACATAGTGAAACCCTGTGGCTGCCAAAAATACAAAAATTAGCTGGGTGTGGTGGTGCACACCTGTAGTCCCAGCCACTCAGGAGGCTGAGGCAGGAGGATTGCTTGTATTGCAATCTGGGAGGCAGAGGTCACAGTGAGCCAAGATCGTGCCACTGCACTCCAGCCTGGGCGACAGAGTGAGACTCCGTCTCAAAAAAAAAAAAAAAGAAATCATGTCCTTTGCAGTAACATGAATACAGCTGGAGGCCATTATCTGAAGCAAATTAACATAGAAACAGAAAATCAAATACCATATGCTCTTACTTCTGAGTGGGAGCTAAACATTATAGGTACACATGGACATAAAGATGGCAACAATAGACACTGGGGATGATGAGAGGAGGGAGGCAGGGAGGGAGACAAGGGTTGAAAAATGACATATTGGCCGGGCACAGTGGCTCATGCCTGTAATCCCAGCATTTTGGGAGGCCGAGGCGGGCGGATCTCCTGAGGTCGGGAGTTCAAGACCAGCCTGGCCAACATGAAAACCCACCTCTACTAAATATACAAAAATTAGCCAGGTGTGGTGACACACACTTGTAATCCCAGCTACTTGGGAGACTGAGACAGGACAATCTCTTGAACCTGGGAGGCAGAGATTGCAGTGAGCCAAGATCGTGCCATTGCACTCCCACCTAGGGGACAGAGCAAAACTCTGTCTCAAAAAAAAAAAAAAGAAAAAGAAAAAAGAGAGAAAAAAAGAAAAACGACATATTGACGACATATTGGGTTCTCTGTACACTATTTGGGTGACAGGTTCAATAGAAACCCAAACCTCAGCATCATACAACATGCCTATGTAACAAACCTGCACGTGTGCCCCTAAATCTAAAATTAAAAAAAAAATGCCTGCACCCGGGTGTCTGCGAGCATTCATGGAGCTAGAGGACCCAGATACACTGTGGCTAATCCACTCAGCTCCACCTGGAACTTGTGCAGCCTCCAGCGGGTCCCTTTACCTCTCTGGGCTTCAGGTTCATCTTCTGTAACAGCGTCATGGACTCTTCCAGTGGTAACACTAGGATTGCTTCCAGGTGCTCAAAAACAGGGGACATAGGTGACATCACCCAGGGGCGATGTTTGGCAAATCCTTCAGGGTTAAGAGGTCAGCTTTCTTTCTACCTGAGTTATTCAGCAGAACTGCGTGCCACTCCTTTGGGATCATTGAGGATTCTCAGGAGCTTTGGCGGTTCCCTTCTCCTTGCAATGGCCAGATGAGCAACCACCCTTTGGGGAAGTGCAATGATTTCCCCAAAGCATCCATGGGGGTTCATATCACCTCATAGTTCTGATGGGAATTTGGCATTGATTGTTAAACACCTCTATTCCAAAGAGCCCCTGACCGTTCCTAGCACAAAGACTGTCTTTCTGATCAACTTCTCTTTTGATCGCTTGCCTCCA